GACACACTTCCGGTGATGTCAGGGGGTGTGGCATATGCTAATGAGTTATGCTAATGAGTTCCCCTAGCTCTTTTTCTACGAAACGACCCCTGGCCCTACATAACGAGATTCTGTTAATTTTATCAACGGTCATATATTGAACTTAGAATGGAAACTCCTAGACTCCTCTTGTAGCAAGCCAAGCAACTGTTCATAAAATTAAGGGGGAAAACAATGACAAGGAATTTTAAGGACGGCCTTTAAGTCGCTGCGTAGGAACGGCACAGTTTGAAAAACAGTCAGCAAAGCAGTTACTAATTAGGACCCATACAGAGAACGATGCATAAACTACTGCATTAACGTCAACTGTGTACAGCGGCACTCTGTATTTATCTTAGTTCTTGAAACACTGATCGTGCCCCTCACCAAGAAACATCATTTTTCTTGGAACAGCCACAGAAAAGTCTTTCGTTTCCTTAGATTTCTCTGCACTGTTTATGGTTTTCCAGCGATGGGAAAAGAGAAGAAACCCACTTACTTTCTGGCTTTTATCCGTGCTTCGGAGTCAGCATCATGGATTCCCTTCTTTATCGTTTCTGCCAATACTGATGTGTGCCTGAGATGAGAAGACAGCATCATTTAGCTGATAAGGGAGAAGTGGGGGAAACACACGACCACCATGGCATTGGGAGTCTGTAAGGAATCTGTCTGATCCTCTTCAAAACAGAAAGGTTTTGCTACAGCCTTCGTTTCCACACAATATCCCTTTTGGTTGTTTCTCTGCTTGTTGTGTAAGTTCTGCAAGTCAGCTTTAACGTATTCAATTTTCTTGCATAAGGAACGTCAAGGAAACATTCCTCAGAGGTCATTCCTTCAGAAGCTGGTTACTGTGAAAATCACAGAAGCGTAAAAGTACTGAGATGCTAAAACGTGGCCACTTCAGTGCTGCATTTGGAACAAAATTGTTTGGGATGTATTCAGTGTTCCCTCTAAGCTGAATTAGAGTGAGCTAGCTCACAGTTTTTTAGCCTTCGGCTCACACGTTTTTGTCTTAACTCAGGAAGGATGGCGCCAGAGCAGACTAATTTATGCAGGAACCGAATTGCTCGCTCCCAACTTTAATGCCGGTAGCTCACAAAGCAGAATTTTTGCTCACAAGACCCCACAGCTTAGAGGGAACATTGGATGTATTGTATTGTGTTTGTTTCATTAACTGCTTGAACTGCTGTAACTGGCACAGGGGGGGAAAAGCTGCCAGTTGTTCAGCGTTTGCTGCCCGTCTTCTGCAGGGAAGCAGAAAGTAGTCTGGTTGGTTGGGATTAAAACTGTACCCGGAAAGAAGGAGCAGGCAAGGTGATGAGGCGTTTGAAAAGAAGCAGGGTGATGTGGTTGTAGTGATGGGAAGGGAAGGTAAAGGTTCCCCTTCCTCGAAAGCCAGTCGAATCTGACTCTAGGGACGTGGTGCTCATTTCCGTTTCCAAGCCGAAGGGCCAGCGCTGTCCGAAGACGTTTCCGTGGTCATGTGGCCAGCATGACTAGACACCAAGGCACACGGAACGCTGTTACCTTCCCACCGAAGCGGTACCTATTTATCTACTTGCAATTTCTTGCTTTCGAACTGCTAGGTTGGCAGGAGCTGGGACTGGAGACGGGAGCTCACTCCATCATGCAGCACTCGGGTCTTGAACTGCTGAACTACCGACCTTCCAGCCTGCAGTTCAGCGTCTTAACCACTTGAGCCACCGCAGCTCCTGAGTGATGGGAAACAGAGGCTCAATTCACTTGTTACTTTCCAAGGAAAGATTTTAACCTACAGATTTCCTCCTTCTGCATTTTTGTATCATGGGGAAAAGAGAGGGTGAATTAGGATGTAGTACATTTATTTTCAGTGCACTAATTCACTGACCCTGCTATCTAGTCTCTTTTTCATTCTGGTCATGCAGTGTCAAATTTAGCTAAATTTACTTTCAATTTAGCATCCACAGAGCTAAGGAAGATATTATGTTTGGTTTTACTACGAAGTATGGCTTTGCTGCCAGAAGGTATTGCTCACCAAGCGAACAGAGCTTCGCCCAATATTCATAGAACACAACGTTATGCTCTTCTAACTTTGTATGCCCTCCTGCAGACAGATGTGTAAAATTCAGCACTCATCACTGTACATAAACTGGCTTAAATGCTCTGAACTGACAGGCTATTACATAAGAGACATAGCTCCCTGGTTTTAAAAAACTACCCTGTAACTTGGATGCTCTGGCACTTGCCTACAAACATCGAAACACTTAATAGCTTGGTGTAGTGGTTAAGTGCGCGGACTCTAATCTGGGAGAGCCGGGTTTGATTCCCCACTCCTCCACTTGCACCTGGCTGGACGACCTTGGGCAAGCCATAATTCTGTTCAGAGCTGTCCTTGAAAAAGAGCAGTTTCTGTCAAGAGCTCTCTCAGCCCCACCTACCTCAAAGGGTGTTTGTTGTGGGGAGGGGAAGGGAAAGGAGATTTGTAAGCCGCTCTGAAACACCTTTGGGTAGTGAAGGGCGGGGTATAAATCCAATCTCTTCTTCTTCTAGTTTGCTTTGAAGGAATGTGGTCCAAAGAAAATCTTCTCTGTAGTTAAACTGGCTTGAGAACTGTTTGAACGTTCCACTACCTACAGTTTTTATAGTACAGCGTTCCTGATACCTCTGATTGCAATTTTTCTTTAAACTTGAGGGTTTTTCCTTTGTTCTATTCCCATGTTCCTCTCCAAAATTTTCTCGAGTCATCTGAGTCCATGTCAGGGTTTAAAACATAAAATTGTAGAGGGAGCACTCTTTATCTATTAATTAATGCTCATATCTTACCTTTCTAGGGAGTGTGTTTGCCATTCCTGTAAAAGTAAATCTAAAAATTCAAAACAGCGTCTGGAAGAAAAAAAGAAATGTAATATTAAATTGCCATTCTAGGTACTAAAGATAAACAATGTGTTTTTAAAAGGCATTAATCTGAAAAGTATGACATCTTAATCCAGAAAAAAATATTTTAAAGGACAAATCAGATTAACTCATGGTACCGAACTGCCAGTTCTACAGAACAGTGTATGCTTCTAGAAGATGCTCAAGTCTTGGCATGTTCTGGGGAGAATACCAGTTCTGTCGCTGTGGAGCAGCCACTATATTATTCTACATGCCCTTGCATAGACTTTGAACTTGAATCTTACAATTTCTTGGGGTCCTAGTGATTGCCTATAGGAAAGTAATACATGTGAGCCATCTAATGTAGGTATTCATTGGCCATTATGTTGAGTTTATCTGGAAGGCTAGAGAAAGCAGGTGACTTTGCTGGGGTTTAAGCCCCTACAAGCAACCCACAGGAGCAGCCTCACATACTGTACATTATGCTTCTTAAGCTGCGCAATTATAATGACATGACCGAAGACTGCCAAGATGGGGGTGCGGATCTTTCAAAAAGAGGTGGGAGAAACTTGTCTCCAACAGAACCACCTCAAGTTCTACATTTAGCCACAGCTTCACTATTACACCAAAGCTTCAAATCTGAGTAATAAAAAGGTATCCTCAATTCCCTCTTCCTAGTGTAGTTTATATTTACTTACTTACTTACTCCATGTGTACTACACCTTTCTGCCCAATGGGGACCCAAAACAGCTTATATCATTCTACTTCCCTCCATTTTAAACTCACAATACCAAGGGCTATTTTGGGGCAGGAACGCACAGGAACGGAGTTCCGGCTGGCTCCCATGTTGGCCACGCCCAGCAGGAACTCATTAGCATAATAGGCCACACCCAACAGCAGAAACTCATTAGGATTGGCTACATTAGGGGTGTGTGGCCTAACATGCAAAAGAGTTCCTGCTACAAAAAAAGGCCCTGGGTTTTGACAACAAACAAGGTAAACAGAATAAGAAGGGAAAGGTGGGTGTGGCTGGATGACCACACTTCTGGTAACATGGGGGTGTGGCCTAATGTGCTAATGAGGCTGTGCTGTCAGGGTGTGGCCTAATAGGCTAATGAGTTCCTGCTGTTGGGTGTGGCCTATTATGCTAATGAGTTCCTGCTGGGCTTTTTCTACAAAAAGAGCCCTGACATACCCCCCACCCAAGATGGGTAGCCGTGTTAGTCTGTCTGTAGCAGTAGAAAAAAAGAGTCCAGTAGCACCTTAAAGACTAACAAAATTTGTGATAGGTTTTGAGCTTTCATGAGTCACGGCTCACTTCTTCAGTTCTGAAGGTCTGAAGATGTGAGCAGTGACTCACAAATTTTGTTAGTCTTGAAGGTGCTACTGGACTATTACTCTTTTAATACACACACACACAAAGTTAGATTGGGCTGAGGGTGTGCAATCGGCTCAAAATCTCCAAGCAAACTTCATGGCAGAATGGGGATTTAAACCTAGGTCTACCAAAACCTAGTCCTACATCCCTGTAGTAGCGAATTTTTTGCCAACATTCCCATGCACTAGTGAACCAATGCACAACCTGCACATTTAGCTTAGGAAGCAAGACTTTAGGGCAGCAATTGTTCCGCTGTTATATTACATGCAGCATCTTAGATGACTTAGATGAGGAAGTTCAGAATGTGCTCATCAGGTTTGCAGATGATACTAAACTGGGTGTGGGGTAGTTAATATCTTCAGAGACAGAAACAGGATACAGCTGGACTTGGATAGGATGGAGGATTAGGTCCCAGCAAATAAAATGAAGTCTAATAGGGACAACGGTAAAGTGTTGCGCCTGGGTAGTAAAAATCAAACATGTAAATGTCAGATGACCGAAATCTGGCTGCGTAGTACCACCTGTGAAAAAGATGTGGGGGTTCTAGTGGACCATAAGCTTAATATGAGTGAGCCGTGTGATGTGGTGGTAAAAAAG